CCAGAAAACGGGGTCTTCAAGAGTCATGGGCCCGAACCCTTTTAGGATTTTCTTAGTCTCACTGAGTCCTACTTATAGCCAAAATATGGAGTCAAACGGCGTCCGACAGTTGGATAGGTTCCCTCGTTAGCTAAATCCGTGACTGGGAAAAGCTTGGGAACACTGAGAAAACCCTTTCTTTTGTGTTTTTACACAAATTTTTTCCAGTGACAAATTGCTATACGAAACCTTAAAAGGTTTCGTAGTTTGTATGAAACCTTAAAAAAGTATATAGATAGTGACAAAAGTTTAAACCCTTTTTAGGTTCGGTAGAGTACCTTCTTTTTTAGAGAGTAGAAGCTTTTATTATTGCTGTTCGAACTAGGGATCTCTAGACATCAAGCACGAACTTTCGTCTATACAAATTCTAACAGTGTCACATTGTACTGTGAAAAAAAGAGGTATAGTATGAAACCTGTGAGGTTCCGTGGAACTTTTCCATACCAATCAGGTATGGTACGTATCTGCAAAACCTCGTTAAGGTTTAGTAATCGAAGAGATTTCGTATGATACCCTTCAAGATTTTGTATCATAATCTTAAAGGTTTCGTATTGGAACAGGTTTCATAACACACCTCTTGAAGGTATAGTCTGAAGATCGCAAGGGAACTGGAAGTACACCTGGGATCGGGTTTGTTTCCGATCCCGATTCTTATAGTTTGATATAGGGGGAGATAAGAGTTAATTCTAAATAAATAAAAAAGAATGGAAAACAAGGAAAATGGACAGGTGTTTCGCACTAGACATACAACCAAGGAGGAAACAGCTGATTTGGATTTTTCCGATTTTCACCGACTTTTGTCGATTTTGCTGATTTTCATCACCAAATGAAAAGTCACCGGAAATGACTGAAAGTCATTGAAAACCACAGAGAATTACAGGGGATCACTGAGAATCACTGAAAATCAGTAAAAATCAATTGGTTTTGGTGATTTTCGATTTATTTCAGTCTGCTATTTCCCCTTTGCGTACAACCGACCAAGTGAATTTTATTTTTTTACCTCTACGAGTAGAAATTTACTAGCGTTAAAATGAAAGAGAGCACTATTTCAGTAGAAAAAAAATATTTCAAGTTCGGGACGGGTTTTATTTGAAAAAATCGGGTTCGGGGCGGGTTTCAAATCTACGAGATCGGATCGGGATCGGGTTCGAAAATCTCAAACTCACAGGACTCCAGCGCTCAAGGCAGCTCAATCAGGTATACATCTCATTCTTCTACATGAATAATTAAGGTAGGACTTTTCGATTGTTTCTAAGGATTTTAGAGTTATTGTCAATGGTTGAAAATTTAATTTTAACAGTTATATCTGAACATCTCTTTAGTACGTGAATTATCTTGAAGAGATGGATATTGTGAAATTAATAGACTATCTACAAGCTGCTCACCATTGAAATGAACTTTTTGATTCTTCAATAAAATATTAAATTTTCGTTGAATTAACAATTTTAAGTCGTGAATTCTATCCCATCGATGAATATAAAACCCAGTCGATCAAAGATGATGGATAGACGGAATAAGTAGATCATTTGGTATAAATCTGTTAACACTAATAAAGTTATTATGAACTCTTGTTTAATATGATAATCTGTCACGAAAGTGTTCTCAAAAACACGCTCGTCAGCTGAAAAAACATCAGTTTTAGGCCTTGTTTGACGAATATCACGGCTTCCTTGAGTAATAGAGAGCTCATTCGTTCAGAAGTGAATATATAAATACAGAGGAGTAAAAATATTAAAACATTTGAAAATTCATTGAGTAGAACGGTCTTTATAAGTAGAACAGCGCAAAACAGGGACGGTACAATGCTGTTGCAATTCACTCATATAAATAAACGTGTACGCCGGACTGCCTACTGTAGAAAGCAAATCCCATTACTTTTAATAGATGCGTTCCATTTACCCGATACAGACACAGCAAACGTTCTAATTTCTCACTTGCGGGAAATAGAAACGCACACAACTGTTTTGAAATTGGAGTCTCATATGTGGGAGATAAACTATCTTAAGATCTTATGGTACATTAGACTTCTAATCTACATAGATGGATAGAGATGAATCTCTACTACATTTTATGTCTACTGTGTGTTTCAATATACCTGAAAGTATGATTACCAAAGTCAGATTACCAAAGTGAAAGTACGACCAAAGTCAGATTACCAAAGTGAAAGTACGATTACCAAAGTCAGATTACCAAAGTGAAAGTACGATTACCAATCAAACTTTTCTCGATAACTGGATACTTCCAAGCTGCTTCTTCTTCAGGTGCAAGTTTCTTCCTTAACTAAAAATGACGGGCAACGCCTCATTTCTTACTGGAAAAACGTTCATAGTGAATGTATTTGCGGGTGGGCACTAGCATACCTATGAACTTCTGTGCGTACTTGGCAAGCACCTGACAAGTATCAATCAAACTTCGCGAATATTGTCGTAAAATGAGACTTAGTAATTTCTTATTCAAGTACCACCTGAACGCATTTGCAGCATCTTGATCTACTTGCTGGATCCCCCAAGGTACTAACAGATTACGCGAGCACGTGCTTGGTACAGTATTGGGTAAGAAGGTAAAGTAATTAAAAATGTTTATTTACTTGGAAAAAATTCCAGGACGTTGCACAAAACTTATGAGGGACTTGTGAAAGCATTGTTATACAAGTCCATTCACCAATACAAGGCTGTAGTCTACATAAAGGAACACTACGCGGAATAAATTGTTTAAAAACGAAACGATATTGCTTCGCCATTCTTCGTTAGAGCAGAGATGTCACTGTTAAACTCACTCACTTAATCAAAAACTGGAGGTCAGAAGGCGTCGTCTTATTCGTAGAAGTGTATGCCCAATACCATGAACTATCAGTTTATTGTACGATTATATCAAATCAAAATGGATTCCTACCATGATAATATAATCTATCGTTAGCGTACCGTTGGTCACTCAGCGAAACTGGCTCCGCTTCGAATTACAGAATATATGGATAATTTCAAATCAAACAGTGTAAGCTCTATGCACTAAATATGAATATATGCTTCACAAGACAGTTTTCAGCATGCGGTAGTTTTAGGTTTATTTACTAGTTCTGAAAACCGAGAAAATTTAGATTATTAACCCTTAAGCTATATAATATGAATGAAAAAAAATTAGAACTTTCACTTCTCGTGTTGAACACCTTATACATTCTGGCGAAGAAGGTAAAAAAACACAATAAGTAAGCAAATAGGAAGAACGGACGCTAGCCATAGTTTGTTGCTGCTTTTCCAGTAGATTTACTATAAGAATATGCAAAGTAGATGCAATGAAAAACAAATGTTATTGGTCTCATATACTTGAGAAAATACTCATGAAAGCATGCATTATTGGCGCTGAAATAAATAAGTTTTAAGGGGGATCATCGCTCTCTGATAAATCCTTTTTTTTTTTCTTCTTCCAGTTTAAGATGAAATTTTTTCTCATTGGATCGATTGTTTATACATATTTATCGTAATTCAACCACAGAAGATATATTAAAAATATCGAAAAAGCTCAAACGTTGATGTTATTTATTATCGGTTCTGACTATCCAACTAGAAAAGAAACAGGAAATAAGTCAAATATGGTTATTTGGATTAAAAAATGCATTTTTTGATGTAACAAAGTAAGGTATGTACAATGTTTTTTTGTTCTATTAAACTGCTCGATATTTTATATAATCAAAAGGTATATGTTAATGTCTAATTGACCTTTTCATTTGGCACAATTTTTATTTAAAATTACTTATATTTCTATGTTTCGTTACTTTTCTTTTTTTTAACATAGATATATTATTGATGACAATCGTATATTACTTTTATTACAAGACCGATCACAAGTATTTGAAATAAAACATTTTCGTATCCAACAGGACAGACGTAAAGAAGCGAAATTTGATGATCAACCGTATTGTGGAAAAGTTACTAAAGTACGTGGGTGTATGATTGATTATACGGTATTTGTAGAAATTCCACAGCTAGCGGAAGAAAAATGAGCGTAACTTTTCACGAATATGTGAAGTTGTCGCTTTCTTCGTCGGAAAATATTGTACTTCATGAATGTAATTGATTTAATGTTTATTTACTTATCAGATAGTAATGATAGGGTCTAGTGAGACAAATTTCTCCAAACTCATCGTTAAAGCTAGAGTCACATCGCATTGTTAGGTCCCTCGTTGCATATCATAGTATAACAATATTTTCTATGCTTTATAGAGTACTGGAACAATACAAGATCAAGATTCGTAACAAAACTTTATCAATTAACCAACAAAACTCTCTTTGGTTATTCTCTTGGAATTGACGTAAATAAAAATGATCTTTGACTTTTTACAGGTATTTATTGGTTAATTCTTTTTCGTTTTTAATTAAAATTAATTTTTTGCCATAATTATTGTGATCATCTACTGTATATTAAAATATAAAAAACTATACAATTTAAAAAGTATAATATAATTACTTATTTAATTTTTAGGTTCTTCTCTAGTCATATATTATTCCAAAATTTATTCTAAAAGTATTTTCTGTTCAAGTTATAATTTATCCGAGAAGAGAATTTGTCAAAGTATTTAAGTGCTAGCCAAGTGACTGTGAAAAATATACAAAGAGTATTTTTTCCCCCTGAATCTATCCATATTGATCTTTGATCTTATTTCTTTATTTTGTTTTCCGATATTTCAATCACATTAGCCATTTTCGCAGGTTTTTGATCATTTTTTTTTCTCTATTTATTTGTAAGACGCTTGCTTATGTTTTTTGTTATCTGATAAGCTCATATTAGTTCGTATAGGTAAGAATAAATTTATCTAATCCAGCTAATATGTAGCTTCCAAAATGCGACCAAAATTTAAGTCAATTAATATAAAAGTGGTTGTAAATTGAAACGAGTGAAGTTATATTGGTCTCATTTTTATTGTGTTTCAAAAAAAAGCTTTTTAATTAATGAATAATGAACAATCGTAATTTGAAATATAGATATATAAATTGGTAAAAAAACAACAGAATACAATAGAAGTAGAAACACGTAGAACAGGAATTGGTAACTATATATTTATGTGTTGGTGCTTTATTATTATTATTCATAAGAAAAAAGAGGAACTGCTGAACCAATTTTGTTTCTGGCAAATACCGAAAAAAAAACAAATTGAACATAAAATTATAGAAAAAAGAGTTTAGAGTTTTAATAGTTTACAATTATGCTTTTACCTTTTGTAACACAAGAAAGACAGAAATGTGAATAAATAATTTGTTAACTATACTACACTACTTAATTTCAAGAACTAGAACAGCATATGGACGATATGTTTCGACCAAAAATTTCACGTCTTTGACGCAAAAGAGAAGGATTATTACAATATTCACGAAGATAGAAAGTTTATTTTGAAAAAAATCAGAAAGGACAGCAGAGTTAGTAGTAAGAATAGTAGAAATCAACTTGTTCCAGTGTAGATGGGTAAAAGTTTTTTAAAAGGAGTAGAGTTTTTACGTATTTTTCTTTTAATAAAGTCGATGTGATGAGGAAAAGAGAGTTTGGCATCAAGAATAGTGCAAAGATCTTTGAATTTTGAAACATGAAAAATAGTGTGATGCTGACATTGAAGATCAGGAATGATAGGATACACTTAGCGATGAAATAAGATCCAAAAAGTTTTTTGAAAATTGATAGCTTGTTTCCACATCACAGAATAACAGATTAGACGACTGAGAACATCCGTTACTTGTTCTAACAGCTCCGGGATCAGAGAGGAAGATGGCCAATATGCTGAAGGAGATAAAACAATTTTAAGGTCAATGTTTCCAGTAGATATCCGAAAAAGTGTTTAACAAACCATAGTAATTCACAATAAAATTGACAGGGCCAGTCCAATTATCCTGGATCACTCCTTTTGGCAGATAGAAGAATACAGATTTCAATTCTTTGATCTCAATATAGGCTGTCCGATCTATTAGATAGAAACGTAACCATGCAATGAGGTATCGAGGACAACCCAAATGATGAAGCTTGAGCTACAACCCCCTATACCACAGCCGGTTAAAAACGGATTTAAAGTCAACAAACAGTGCCGCTGCCGCTATGTTTAGGATTAAATTTTGACCAAAAAAACTTTTTAGCATGATCACACATTTCGAGAGAGAAAATTATATGCCCGTTTGACAGAAAACCTTGAATAGTGTGCACGTGCACCGAAATGACTACGCCAAAATATAAATACATCGTAATCATTTAAAGATTTACAATACGTTTTCCACGAATTTCTCTTATGAGCGAATAGTTTTTTGCGAGTACGTTGAAGACAGTATATATTTATGAAAAGTGAAGATTATATATTTATGGATAGTACGTAGCTATACTAAAAAGAACTAATGCCTATATGTATGTATGAACATTAGAATAAGACCAACTTCCAGAGCAAAATGACTAATTTTTAAATTTTAAGAGCACTTTCTCATCGGTCTATAGACATTATAAAAGATGCCAGAGATAGTGATGATGAAGACTAAATTCTTTGTGTGATATAGTTGTGTTATCAATAAATATATAGTCACTAATTCTTATCTATATTTCAAATTACGATTGTTCATTATTCATTAATTAAAAAGGGTCGCTTTTTTGAAACAAAATAAAAATGAGACTGATGTAACTTTACTCGTTTCAATTTGCGACTATTTTTCTATTAATTAGCTTGAATTTTGGACGCATTTAGGAAGTAGCCTAATTATGATTGTTATATTTTATTAATCCATCTAATCTGAAAAAAGCTAGTTTGAATTGATATCCTGTCAATAGGATATAGATCTTTCATCGAACATGGAAAGCTAAAAATATTCTTGCGAACCCAGCAAAATTCACAGAAGTCTAATTGTATGACTGATTATTGTGTCAATCATCATTATCATTACGACAATTATTACAATTATCATTCTCACTTAGCAAATTTACCTCAAAATCTTGACGTTTGAAATATGTAGAAAGTAGTTTTAGAAATTGGCTTGTAAGACTCACTTATGATATATCTGAATAAGTAAGTTTAAGATTAATCGAACAGTACATATTCGATGACAAATATTTAGATCATCTCTAAAACATTTAATAATGATTGGCTTCAGAAGATCGATGTGAACGAAAATCTTGAGAAGAAAAACCCTTTCGCAAATAGAAGTCGAATATTGATTTGACATGAAGATGCAATTTAATCTGACAACCGCTTTCTTAAATATGATTTCGAATTCTCTTTTAAAAACTTTTGAAATTCTTTGCTCTTGCGCTTTTTTTTCGAAAGTTACAATCAAAAGCGATATTAACACTCACTTACTTGTATAAATGCTGAGACAGAACAGTACTTAATGAAGTTTTGTTGTTTGTAATCGTGTATGAACGATCTTACATAGAGATCTTTTTTTTTATAAAAGAAAGGGGAGTTTGATTGATTACACATGTTAAGGAAAGCCTTATACTCGTTCGAAGAATTATTATTATATTTAGATTTTAAAATGAATGTCAACATTTTCTTTTTCTGTTTCATTATGAATTGAAAGACAAGTAGACATATGTATATGAGCTGGCAGTTTTTTAGTAGACTTTTTTTTGTTCTACGTCCAATTCTATGGTAAAAAAATACTCGATAGAAAATACCTTACTCTTATTTTGCTTCACTATCAATATTATTCTTATTCTGGATGTAAATGTAAATAAAATCGTTTATAAATAAGTAGACAAGTTAAAATAATAATTCTTTTATTTATTGAATGACAGTACGATCAGCAGCATTAGTAGTATTTTAACAATGCATATCACGATCGAATCGACGATAGTAAAACGCGAAGAAGGTCCATTTATTGTAAGTTCTTGTTGAATAATATGTCTGATGTAAGATGCCTACAATCGAAATCTTGAGTAAAATTTCTTTTTCGTTTTTTTGAATATGTTTTCATAGAATTACATAGGTAAACATCGATTTTAAACTTTCGTAAACTAAAAACCGAGCTCAAAATTAACTGAACACGAACGAAACCAAAAAAGCTCTCCTAATCCACATCAAAAACTGAGTCGAATGTCGTATATTTTGTTGAAAAATCTTTTTCATGACAATTTGACCTTTACTCCACAGGTCTTTTTAAATAAACTACCAAGGTAAGGTCAAATTTTCATGAAAAATGTTTGTTGACAAAAGATACGACATTCGACTCGAGTTTTTGATGCTGATTCTGAATATTGGTTTAGCTAGAGAACAGATGTTTGATGGTAAAAACGGCAGAAGATGAGTGCAACTTTGTGTTTTTTTTAGCATCGATTTCAGAAAAATGCGTTTACTCAGCAACGAAGCAATATTTTCAAAAACTGACGTGTAACTTTTTTCCCATAGGACTAATGATTAGAATAAAATAAAAAAATTTATTCTGTATGGTTTCTCTAGGGCGTTGATTGGTTAGCAAAAAGCAAAGGGTAGCGTTTTTAGTTTCGTTCGTGTTCCGCAAATTTAGACCACATTTTAGTTTACGAAAGTTTAAAATCGATGTTTTCCTATGTAATTCTATTCAACCATGTCTAAAAAAACGAAAAAAAAATTTTTTGCTCAAGTTTTCCATTGTCGGCATCTTATGAAAATTTGATCTTTTTACAAGATTTAGTCGACAATAGGCCGATAGAGTGAGCCTGGAGCATTTTTTCACTAATTTTTATCTGACTTGCGTTTAAAAATTTAATATTTAGCTCAAAAAATAGAAAATTTAATTCTGTAGAAAACTGTCGATTTTGTTTTGAAATTATTTTAGAATATTCAACAGAATATTGACAATATTAAAATATTCTAATTTTCTAAAAGGGCACGGAATAATCTTAACTTCTTTTACGAAACGTTGCTGATCTCTCAATTCAACTTTTAGACAATTATTTTAACGTCAAAAGATGCAGAATTTTACGCTATACGAACTGACACTCTTTGTGTTAAATGACTATTCTTTTTTTGTGAGAAAGAAAGTCCTTTATTTCTACACCAAAAATTCAAAATTAAATTCAAAACAAAATCGACAGTTTTCTAGAGAATTAAATTCTCTATCTTTTGGGCTAAATAATAAATTTTTAAACACAAGTCAATATGGATAAAAATTTAGTCAAAAAGTGCTTTAGAAGTTCTGATCCATCCTTGAAAGTTTTTCTTTGTAAACTTATTCAATAAACCTTTTTCAGCTGAAGATTTTTTCAAGAATCATCGAAAACATTAATCATGCCTTTTACACTTGAATTTTATTTAATCTGAAGTGATGAACAAAATTGATGACAATAAAGTAGTATAGAGATTGAGACAAAAAGTTCATGTTATATATAAGAACAAATAAAACATAAACAAAAGAAACTAGTGTAGTAGAGAAAGGAAAAGAAATAATAAACAAAAAAGAAGAAAATTTATAATAAACAATTAAATATTGAAATGAAGTCTGCAAAGAAATTTGATAGAACAATATCTGATGAAATTGCTTTCCATTTCATTTACATGGAACACTCCTGAAAACGACAATTTTACTGTGGAAAAATAAGTGAAAGACGGTATTGAACAATCGCTGGATTCGAGTAGCCGTCGTAATTATATTGATTATGCAGGACATCTGTCGTTTTAATGTTGTTGATGTATCGTTATTCTAGTCAATTTTGATGCTCAATTTATCGATCATCAGTCTTTATTGTGATCTCATAAAAGAAGTTTGCTTTTTTTTGACATGTAAATTCTTTGCTTTATTCTCTCTCTTTCTCTCTTTTACAGCTAAAATATTATCTAGTCAAACAACAACCAATAAAAATTTCGTATCATAGAAGAAATGATGTGCTATCATTATGTTGTCATGGTGTAAAATGGATTTTTTATGTGTTATATCAATTTATTTTTACAATTATTTTATTAACATTTTTGATTAGTAGTTTATGGTATATTTCGACATTAAAAAGAATTTTTAATGATAGAATAATAATCGTTAATCAAACTACACAGCCAATATACTCAATTCAAACACTATTATTAATATTTTTCATGCAATAAATCGTTGTTTTAATGTTAAATATTCTTTAAAAAGGATTCATTAAAAGAAAAAATCGCTCTATTATTTATATTATTGATGACAGTTTATTCGACAACTTTCAAATTCGATTGTAATTCTATATCAACTGAACATATTTTATAATGCGTTTTAATACGTAAGATAAAACTGCAATAATTGAAAAATACAGATGATCAATATGATAAAAAAGAATTATAAAAATGCATACAATAGACGATAGGCAAATGAACAACGAGAAACAGTACTCAATAGTGATAAAGAATTGAATAATAGAATTTTATTTTTAATTACAAAAATTTATCTACACTCTCTCTAATGAATATTGTTTTGGTTAGAAATCATCTGTATTCTGTTTATTTTATTAGAAATCTATTATAGTTTTGTTTTAGTATTTTTATGTTTGATAAATATAACATTAATATTGTTTCTATTTTTAATTTTATTTAATAAACAAAATTATTTTTTGTTAACCATTTATTATAGAATAATAAATTCGTAATAAACTTCATTTTATATTCTATACAAAAAAAAAAAGAAAATTTTTTTCAGTATGCACCAATGTTGAACAGGTGTCCGTAAAATAGACTGTTTACCGACAAAGGTGCTGCGTACTCGTGCAAAATCAGTACCGATAGAAATTTGTTTTTTGTAGGATAAGGTTTACATTAGAGGTAATCTATTTATATGTCATCATTTATTTTTAATAGAAAAGTATAATTGATGATTAATTTTCTCAAAGTTGTTACGATTAATGACGAGAGTATTGCATGTTCACGTGAAAGAATACGAAACACAGCATAGCGTATTTGCTAAACGATGAATTACTCATTGTTTAGATATCATACTATAAGCTGATTATTAGTGGTTCGAACAAATATTGAATAAATCAACTTATTGTGGAAGTTCGATTTGAATTAAAAAATTATTATAGATTCTATTTTCTGAAGGATAAATGTTAAAAGATCAAAAATTGAATTTTTCAGAAAATTTTCTGTTAAACTTGCCCTATATTCTGAGATTTGAAGTGGAGTTAATTTTTGCTAAAATTTAAAAGAATAACGGTATACTATAGCAGCGATAAATTATAATGTTAGAATTCCACCAGATACAGCTGCGCAGTAAACTAAGAGTTCATACACCGAACGGCATTTGTTTGACTAAGATCAGATATCAAAACGTTTAAAGAAATTTAAAAAAACAATATCATTTGTTTACGACTTTTCTTTTTATAGGTTAGTTCATCTTCTTAAAAAAATATTCTTGAAAGACAAATACTTTGTATAATTTTACATAAATATCAGAAGGACGTTTTGTATCTGTTTACTTTTTTTCTTTTGATATCATCCTTGATGTATCCAGTCCATACTGTGCAACTTTTTAATCTTAAAAAGTAATTTATTGAGTAAAGATGGGCGAAATTCAAAGTCAAACAACATTGTGATTGCCTATCTAGGGCTAGGTTTGAAATGTAAAATGTAGAAATGCATTTCGATTCAATCTGTGTTACTCATAAAGGTTTTATTTAGTAACAAAAAAACGAAAATCTAATTGGAACAACAATTTATCTAATTCTAGTTTTTGTTTTAGACAGAAGAAAGCTATGACCTCGAAACGTCCTGCTCATCAATTATCCGATGTTGAAGATGATGATGATACAACGGTGAAGAAATCTAAATTGAATGACAGTGTATCTTCGCCGATCAACAATGATAATCGTACTATTGTAACATCACCAAAACCGTTAACACGGATTAATACTGCTGATGGTAGTTCTATTGGTACGAAACCTTCATGTCCATATGGCGTTGCTTGTTATCGTCAAAATCCACAACATTTTCTTGAATATTCTCATCCTTGTATGTCTTTTTGTTTAACTTCTACCATTAGTTTGTTAGAATTTTAATTTTCTTTTTAGCTACTCATTCACGATTATTGACATCATCGTCCTCCTCAACTATTCAATTAAAACGTTATGATCCAATCGATAAAATCAAGCATAGTTTACCATATCGATTTTTTTTAACAACAGTAAAGGGTATTCCCGATGAAAATAATGCATTAAATGCCCTTAGTTTGAAGGGTAAGTATTATAATAAGAATATTGTAGAAAATATTTTTTGAACTTAATGTAAAATTTGAATTAAAACTGCATTAAATTCTATAAATATCTGTCTGTATTTAATAGAAATTTTGTCAACACAGCATGGTCAATTGATACAATCAGCACAATTTAATTACATGTTTCACATAGATTGGCTAATTGAACAATATCCATCTGAATTTCGGTATCTTTATCTTCATATTTTACACCAGTTCATACTAAGAACATCTTTTCTGTTTTTATTTTATTACAACTTCAGACAAAAACCATTATTGATTGTTCATGGATGTAAAAGAGATGAATTAGCTTCATTAAAAGCTGAATGTTCACCATATCCAAAAATTGAATTATGTTCAGCTGATATGCCCATACCCTTTGGTACTCATCATACAAAAATGATGTTTTTACTTTATACAGAAGGTAATAGTCTTCATATTTCGATACTTACTGATAAAGACATCTTCTTAATTCTTTTCAAATAGGTATTCGAATTGTAATTCATACTAGTAATTTAATACCACAAGATTGGAATCAAAAAACACAAGGGTAATCTAGTAGTCTAATCGTTATAGATGAAAATGATTTATTAAATTTTCCTTTTTTTAGAATATGGATAAGTCCAATATTTCCAAAAATTTCAAAAACCACTGATGATTATTCTACAACAACAGCTAATTCAGATTCACATACAAATTTTAAACGTGATTTATTAACATATTTGGATCGTTATAGTTCAAAACAATTACAATTCTGGATGCAAACAATATTGGAACATGATATGAGTAGTGCCAAGTATGTTATTGAGTAGCTCATTAATAAATTGTAACTCTCTTCTTCTATCTAGTGTCCATGTGATTAGTTCAGTTCCCGGACGTTTTACAGGTGGAGATTTTCAAAAATTTGGTCATTTAAAATTACGCCAAGTAACAATTTATTGTGTCATATGTTGTTATTATTTTTAATATTATATGCATATTTATTTTATAGACATTGAAAACTTATCTTGGTATTGATAAACAAGAACAATATCAATCATGGCCAATTGTTGGACAGTTTTCATCGATCGGTTCATTAGGTAAAGATGCTGATCAATGGTTAGAAAAAGAATTTTTAACAACATTAAAACAGTTAAATTCATCATATCTTGAAAAGCCAGAATTAAAACTTATTTATCCAAGTGTTGAAAATGTTCGAACTAGTCTAGAAGGTATGTTATTTCATTCTAACTGAATAAATTTCTATTTAATTAAATAATATATATTTTTTTTAAATCAATTATAGGTTATAAAGCTGGTGGAAGTTTACCATACAGTATGAATACGGCCATGAGACAACCATGGTTGAATAAATATTTATAGTATGTAGAAAAGATTAAAAAAAAAGAAGATAGTATAAGAAAAATTGCTTTTTTAATATTATTTTTAGTCAATGGCATTCTGATTATCGAAATCGAACTCATGCATCTCCACATATCAAAACATATCTTCGAACATCGAATGATTATAAACAATTATTATGGTTTTTAGTTACCAGTGCAAATTTATCAAAGGCGGCATGGTAATTTAATTATCATTTTTAGTGGTATACATTGTTCTAGTCACTACGTTTGTTCTAGGGGATCTTTGGAAAAAGATAATACTCAATTATTTATACGATCATATGAAATTGGTGTTTTATTTTTACCAAAAAATTTTGTAAGAAAAAAATTTTAAAAAAAAAACATTTAAAAATCTATTTGCCATATTTTTTTTTGTTCGTTAGTCATGTTCATCATTTCCAATATTAGATGATAAAATATCGGATTCATTTCCAATTCCTTATGATCTACCACCAACGAAATATGAAGCCAAAGGTTAAAGAAAACAATTTTAAAACAAGAAAAAAAAATAAATTTAATTAATTTTTGTTTTTTATTTTAGATAAACCATGGATAGTTGATATACCTTATACATCTCAACGTGACAGTCATGATTGTACATGGAATCCGCACTAATATTTTCAAAATTTAAAAACTTGTACAAAATGAAACAGTATGTTTTTCTTGTTGAAATAGACTTTTTGTTTTAATCTATTTTTGTTTCCTAAAATAAGACAATTTTTTCTTTTTGTCTACGATTGTAAATAAGTCATTTCTTTTTTTCATTTGTTAAACGTGTATATGTGTTTCTCTTTTTTGTTATTCTTGTCAGAAATAAACAAAATAATAAAATGAATAATCTTATCTTCTAAATAAAGTAAGAAATTGATAGCAAAATATTCAATAATATTTTTGAACTTCATTAAATTATAGAATCTTATTCATATTTTGTTTTTTGTTTTCATTTTTGAATCGAATATAGTTTTTATCTCCTACATGGTAAAGGGAGGTTATGTCAATACAAACAACTGATGCCATCCGTTTCTGAAACAGTTATTTTAAACGATTTACCACTACTAATGTATGTTTTCATTTTATTTCAATTTCTTTTCCTATTGGCTTTAAACAAATATAAAACATAATTATTAATAATATCATAACCTATCTTGATGTGCATTAAAAATTTTTTAGTTAATTGATAAAAATTAGTTAATTCTCATCTATTATCAGAACAGAAAATAAAAATGAAGTATTATGTATATATATTTTATCATTTATTTTTTTCTTCTTCTTTTCTATAACGTATAGCAAAGTAGTTGATCACATTGATGAACAATATGAATTGAATGAATATGCATCATTAAAAGAAGTTTTGGAATGGCTTGACAGAATAAATTTCAGACATTTATATCAACCACTCTATCGAACTGATCAAGAAACAATTATTAAATGTGTAAGATATTTTAAACAAAGATAACAAGATCCATTTTTTCATTATAAATATGTTTTATTTTAGTATCACGGCGAAAGTTTATTGGCTGCTGTTGAACTATTATACGGTGTGAACACTACTGAACCCGAATATTTGTCAAAATCGGCAAATTTATATCCTTTAGGTATTTATTGTGATCGAGTTAGTAGTTTCCCTTTTAATTAAGGGAATATTCTACAGTGAAGTCAGTCAGAAAGTCCCTAATTTAGATGAAAACATATTTGACTTGTTATATGTATCTACTTTCAGAATGTAGAGTTTATATTTCTATCCGAAACGTTCTTAAATGTTTTGCAGGAGACTTGTCGAAACTCTTAAAAACACATGGTTTTAAAGAAAATCCTACAGTTTTATACAATCGAATCAAGGTTTTTTGACAAACTACATCGTCATATGAAGAAATCTGTTCTCTTCAAAATGAGACCTTGCACAGATCAGTGTGGCATTTTTTTCGTGTAGTTATGACTAATTTAAGATATGTACAGTGCAAAATTAAAGCAAAATTTGTTTCTTACTTTATTATACATCGTTGGATAGTGAAAAATTGAAAATACTTAATGGAATCAAAAAGTCGAAAATCCTTCAGGTTGAAAAAAAGCTCAATACCTGAATTCCAGACAACTATACGAATTTCAAAATATTTTTCTTATTCAGCATTGAAAACTGAATAGGAAAATGGCGTTTGATCAATTTCGACGAAGTGGAAAGCTTGGACGTTCTAACACACACCCTCTAAAGTGCGCACAAACGATTTTGTAAGCCTATCTAGTTTCTCGTGTTAGAGACTGAAGTCGTCGTTTGCACGTCATTAGATTCGCTGAAAGCTTGGCTCATAAAAAAAATCATATGCGGAATCAGGATCAAAAACTAAGTCGACTAATACGCATTTAAAAGTTTTTAGCTGATTTTTAGTTGTGGGTGAAAATTCGAAAAAAATAAAGTACTCGGATAGGATAGAAATACGTATTAGTCGACTCATTATTCTATGACATGCAAATGATGACTTCAGCCCCTAACACGAAAAACTAGATAGGCTTACAAAATCGCTTGTGCGCATTTTAGAGAGTGTGTGTTGGAACGTCCACGCTTTCCACTTCGTCGAAATTGATCAAACGCCATTTTCCTATTCAGTTTTCAATGCTGAATAAGAAAAATATTTTGAAATTCGTATAGTTGTCTGGAATTCAGGTATTGAGCTTTTTTTCAACTTGAAGGATTTTCGACTTTTTGATTCCATTAAGTATTTTCAATTTTTCACCCTCAAAAATGTTTTCTTAAAAATTAAAAATACATTTTTTTTTCTTAATCAGCTCGAACTGTTTTATCCAACGATGTATAATAAAATAAGAAACAAATTTTGCATTGTGCACACTTTACTGCATCTTCTAAAAATACTTTAACTAATTGAAACATGTATATCTGTTTCAGTTAGCACTACAAGATATTTCACACCATTTTCTCCTATGCAATCGTAGAACCATATTTCTTTTTTTGTTCGAAAGAGAAAAAGAAAACTGTGTCGAATGTTGGAGTCGGTTTTTAAACTAAATTCCAGTTTTATCAAAATTCACGTTTTCTGAGAGAGCCTTCTGGGATTTTTTCCGCGGTTGTTAATTCTTAAACACAATAAAAAATCCACGTCCTACATTCGTTCAGATTGATTGCTTATCTTAATTTAAAACCATCCCAACATTTCTAATTCGTAATCTGAAAAACATATTTTTTAACACACTCGTAGAGTGTATTTTACCCCATGTATTTCGAAAATTTTGGGAACGGTCATAGATGGTGAGCTTGCAATTATTTTTCGAGCATCGTTTGATATGATATACATTTTTTGAAATTTTTGTCAAAATTGAATGTAAAATAAAAGATTTTTTTCGCTATAGGGGGTTCTCTCAAAGCACTTATTCTCCAATATGTTTAACATCCTTTATTTTTCAGCTAGTTATACACTAAGTCCACGTAGTTTAATATTAAATTATGAGTCATGGACACCTACGTTACGTGATCTCGTTACATTTTCACCTTATTCTATTGCAAATTCCAATTTGAGATTATTATTCATTTGTTATCAATTATTAAAAACCATTTTCTTTGTCCATCATCATGGTTTGAGTACTGGACCATTACAATTAACAGATATACACATAACAGAACGTTATTGGATACAAATTCGGCTACGTTTCAATGCCTGTTTAGCCACATTAGAAGTACAATCATTAGACGATGATAATTATTATACACATCAAAGAAACTCTACTCAAAGTACAATTACTGATTTACAACCATCAAAATATCAGCAAAAATTAACTACTCATACGAATAATCCATTTGTTCAAGCATATACGGATGAACCACAGCTACAAATTTCATTTTCAACATCGTTATTATTAGAGTCTTCATTGTTGGCAAATTCTCCTGTATATCATGTAGAACAACGTTATTTAACGTATTGTACAACATTGTTCGATATCCCCGAATTAATTAAACAATGGCAATTAGGACGTATTTCAAATTTTGATTATTTACTTATATTAAATGCATTGGCTGGAAGAAAATTCAATCATCCAGATAAACATCCAATATTACCGTGGATAACAGATTTTACTACTTCTTGTACAAATTTACGAGATTTAACAAAATCAAAATATCGTTTAAATAAAGGTAAAATTCATCAATAAGATAGATTTTTGTTGAATAAAAGTAATTTTGATCTTTTTATTCAGGTGATGCTCAATTAGATTTAACTTATAATTATTATTATGTTCAATCATCGTCTGCAACAGCAGGAAACTTAACTGCACATCATTTATGCGAATATTTATCATCAATAACATATTATGTTTACAAAGCACGTCGTATGTCCAAATCGATATTGTGCGAAGTAAGTTTTAATACAAATTCTTTGTAATAAAAATCATACACTCTTTTCTCATGAACTTTGACAACAGTTCTTTTATTTTATTTTATTATTCAAGAATGTTCGTTCATCATGGGTTCCAAATGAATATCCGTCATCGATTACTCGTCTAGTTGAATGGACTCCAGAAGAATGTATACCAGAATTTTTTTACGATTCAACTATATTTCAGTCGATACACGATGATTTGGATGATTTACATATACCAAATTGGTGTACAAGCACGGGTAGGAAGACACATTGATAGTCAAATATTGTAAAATTAGTATAAGAAATACTCGGTTGACTTGTTTTATAGATGAGTTTGTCGAAAAACATCGACAATTATTAGAAAGTCGTGAAGTATCAGCTGAATTACACTTTTGGATTGATCTTGTGTTTGGGTATAAGGTAAGAGTAAATACTAACAAATTATTTGTAAATTATTTTCTGTTTTTTTATTAATCAGTTAACTGGTGAGCATGCAATCGAAGCAAAAAATGTTTGTTTATCATTAGTTGATCATCATGAAAATATACGAGACAATGGTATTGTACAATTATTTCTTACTCCTCATCCTGCACGTTTTCGAACGCATACAACACCAATTACATCATCATCGTTGATTTCAACAACAAGTTCGTCATCGTTCAAAAGTAACCCTGTTATCGCACAATCGAGTCGAGCATCTTCTGATATAAATAGTGAACAAACAAAACAGACGAGGTAGGCATACTTTAAAATAAATTACGATGCGTATTTTTCACATAGAAAAATTATTCTTTAATTTTTTGAAATTCTTTTATTTTACTATTTAAGTCATTGATAGAGAATTTTTGGTGGCTTCTTCGATACAATTTGATTTTTTTGTACTACTTATTTCAGCATTGAATATATTTTATTCAGACATCAGATTGTAGAGAAATATTTTCCATAGAAATGAGCCCATTTTTAGCATCATTTAACATTTGTCGGAAGTTATGCGAAAGATTTATAGAAGAAAGTTTGTATCGTCTAGCTCATCGTTTAGCAGAATCGTCTGTACAACATACATGTCGACTTATAAGTGAAGTGAATATTCTGAGGAATTTTTGTCCCACTAATTGGTTGTACTTCGTTTCTATTGTTCCGCTAACTCTTTTTTGTAGTTTTCCTCTAGTGACAATGAAACATCTGTAAATTCTAGAAGTTTTATTACCGTGGTGAGAGTCTTTCTTTCATTAAGGTGGATAACTAAATAGAACCAAAACGTTCTCATCTTTTGAAACATGTGTCTCAGCGTTCCATATCTTCTATTTTGTTTTTCTCATTATCTGACTCTGGATTTTATTTTCAAACTCTAGTAAAATGCGTCCTTCACTCACTCTTTCAATAAACAACGTTGATATAGAAAGAGTTTTGTCTCTTAAGCTTCTTGGCATGATTATTTCATATAATTTAACGTGTAAGGCTCACATTGAATATGTGTCAATGAAATCTCGTCAAATGTTAGGCTCTATCTCAAGAGTCTTTCGTGACTCGCCCTCATTTCTTCGTTGTCATCTGTATAAAACTTGTGTAAGAACCGCGCTTGAATACGGTTGTGTTATCTATGATTCCACTTTTACTTCTCATCTTGAAATTTTGGATAAAGTTTAGCGTCTTGCTAGTAGGGTCATTTCACAAGATTTTAGTAGTTCTTCTTCTTCTCTACTCAAACAATTTAAAATTCAACCACTTTCAAACAGACGTCTATATTATCGCTTTCTCTATTTCTATAAAATTTTCTATCATAAAAGTCCTCTCTCCTCTTTTGGTCTGATTTCACAGTCAACAACGCGTCAAAGTTCTCGATTCGGCCATGATAGTCGCGTGTTTGTTCCTCGTTTAATGTCAAAATCTGCATCTAGCTCTTTTCTTCCGCGAACCTCAAAAGATTGGAATGAACTACCTTCTGTTTT